TATCATTCGATGTATAAATTTTATTCTTTAAATATTACTATAGAAGACTCCTGAGTGTTTTCCCCTGGCGTTAAGTTGTCATGAATTTCAGAGTACTCACTCACTCTTCCCTACACAAAACTAATTTACAACGAACAAGTAAGACAAGATCATGCTACTACCCAATGTAGCAAACAAGTTCACTTTAGTGGACGTTTGAGAATCCCGAACGTAAGCACTATTCGCTTCCGGTACGCTTCAGTTCTCACTAACACTAAAAGCGTCACCAAGCAGCTTCTGCCTTCGACTGATAATCAGAGCTCAAGATACAGCAGATCAACAGTTTCTCAGAGAATTTGTTTCCACTAGGTGTCACAAACAGTGAGCTGAGCCAACTTGCAACTAGTGTATGCTGTTTGTTCCGGTCAAAGTTCCTGAGAGCAGGGTTAATGATGCAAACAGCGTATAAGTTGACACTGCATGTCCAAAGGCGCTACAGATCGTTGTATAGAAACTGCTAAACCTTTCAAATAACAGTACGGTTTTCCAATCATTCGGAAACATGTACAATGGTTTGGCTGAAAAAGCAATAATTGTATTCACAAAGCTGCGTATGTACCATACTTCTCTTAGGTCAGTATGTATCACACGGCTGAGACAACTGATCTCACCAGAGCAATAAAGACGTTTGAATTGAGCACATCAGCGCTAGTTTCGACGAAAAGTAAAGATTAAATGGCAAAGCCACATAAAGAATAACTCTTTTCTCATTCGAGCACAAGTGACCTCAGATGTAAAGATTAGAAAAAGGTTATCCGTAGTAAACAAAGCGGTGTAGCATACTCCAGCCCATGGGAGTCCAAACATAGCAGATGACGACCAGCAGGGCATGCAACATAAAGGAAGAAAGTAGAGCCAATATCTCTATTCGGGGAGAAATGTTCCCATGCAGAAACCTGTGCCTCATGGCAGATATGCTGAAAAATTGAGTACAGTAAAACGGACATCAAAAGTCACAGATGTACTGCTGGCACATGGTGGCGATCTCTAAACAATACAGTATGACTTTCTATTGCTTATTTAATTGTTCCTTTGCCAGAAACGAACAAGCTGACGGCCATAACATTCATGGTGTCAACACGGCCCGATAATGTGAGACAATCCCCAACATGTAAACTAGATGCAGGAATTACTGTATCCCACGCGTATTTGACAAACGTTGCATTGTAACGGTGGACTCCATCACCTCACATGAAGAAACTGTAACAAAGCACTTTAGAAGCCTTCTGCACATAAACGGTTCAAAACACAGGTTTGCGATTGTTCTTCCTATCGGTAGTGTAAAAAACGAATGGCGGTGACTTGCCCAGTTTCGTCGCACCCAACTGATCTCGTCTGTTTGATCGTGCTTATTCGATATCGTGCACAGAGCCAACGCAAAGCTAACGCCTGGATCGACGGTGTCGACAGAAATATAATAAAAGCAACACAACTAAAGTCAAATCTCTTAAGGAAAAAAGAAACGGTTGGTAAAAAACAACTGTCTCTGATGAATAAGTAAAGTTATAACAGACAAAAACAACTGCGAAAGAAACAGGCGCTATCAAGTGCAAAATCAGGGTGTACAACGTAAATAAAATTTGCAAAATCATACTGAAGAGTAACCATTCAATACATAAAATTACAAACGCATCAAACAATGAACAATATTAAACAACAACTTAAAATATGCGAAAACAAGAAATAAAATTCGGTCACCCAGTAGCTAATGTACATGGTACGGCGCAGTTAACAAAAAGACGTAAAACAAACGACAGCTACACGTGATCCAGCAATGCACAGCAATCGCTATTGCACTGCATCGGTAGTCACGATGATCCAGTCAACTACCCGACAAAGTGATCGATCCCGCAGCGCTCGTAGAAAACGGTGGCGATTAATATTCAATCGGAAAGTCGGCCACGTAATTTCCTGAGATCAATGGGACCGTCTGTACTGCCTGTGTTACCTTCCAAATGGACGACGGTCGAAAAATGCGAATTCGAGCTGAATGATCCGCACCCCTCACTCGTAAGTCTGCACTGCATAATCAAACGAACTGAGGTAATCGAGCGCCACTTGGTAGAGAAACTGGTACTGCTCCTGAAATTGAGGTTGAAACTCGGGCAGTCAGAGACGAAACGAAACCTGGTCAAGCCGTACCTCAAGCTGCACCATGTTGGCACGTTGAAGACGCAGCAACTTGACGACCGTAAACACGTCGACGACGCCCTCGTAGCGAATTCGCTCCAAGATGATGCTAAGCGCGATGAACATGCCCGTTCGTCCAACGCCCGTGCTGAAAGACACACCATTGTCCACTCGGTCATTCATCGCAAGCGACCAATTAACACACGAACCTGCAGTGAACCGTTATTGGACCGTCTTGTCCAAACTGTTCGCGCGTCTTGTGTATCTGGCCGATGAAGTCGACCAGATTCTCGCTGGACTTCGGAACGCCTTGGCACGGCCAGTCGGTATAATGGAAGTGCCTGATCAACTTCGACTGGCCGTTCTAGAAAAAGTTTACTGTAAACTGGCCAGTCATCAACCAGAGACCATTATGTCGTACCCTGATATCCGTCAGCTTGAACTCCCTGAGAATATACTGAGGCATGTACTGCGGCATGTTGTATTCGGCCACCGGTTCCACCAGAAACATTCCGCACCGTTGGCTTTGCTCTCCAGGCCAGTACAAATGGCAAATTTCCTAAACGACGAAACTCTGAAATGCGCCCAGGTTTGATCATCAACAAGTCGAGGCACAAACGCAAGCAGAATACGAACTGATGCTGCAAGTACCGAAGCGCAATACCGTTTGGAACAATCAATAACCGACGTTAAGGAACTGATACAACGAGAGTTCACAAGCAACGGCAAAGTTTCGTAGAATGTCATCAGGTGGTATTCGTTTTAGGACTCCATCAATTCTGGTGGCTTCGCATTCGTACTTTAGCATTTGATGACAAACTACCAACACTGTTCAATCCAAAGCTAGCCCAGTAACTACAACATCTCTATATCACCAGCATTAAAGGTTATACTTGGTTCAACTATCTTTAAGATGGACAACTTCAACTGGTCCCGGATTTGAGACTTAGCTTGTGAAGGAAATGAAACAAGCTGTGGTGAACTACTCATAGACAACGTCACTTCGAAATAAGGCAGAAATGACGAAATGTACACAATGAAGAGGAAACTGATTTCAAGAGCTTGTAAAATAGAATGTACTTATGTCCAGCTGATCACGTAGGCCTCCTCCTGCCTATTCATGTTAAAGCAGGTTTGTTTCGCTATAGCAGCTTCAAGAAATTCCCTCTACCTCCAGTACACTTTGTTCAAATTATTTTGGCGAATACCACCGGATGAAAGGGTTCTTGAAAATGCTGCGATCCGAAATGGATCAACAAACATTTTCACCCGCCCTACAAACGACACCGTACCTCATTTCATCCATCCAATTACCCCGATACAGGTTGCTCGACAAGGGTAAACAACCCAATGTACCAGCTACTGTGACAGGTTCCTTTCGTTACAATGGGGAGTCAAAACTTCTACCGAACGGAGAACACGTCTTTGCGCTGTATTTACAACCATGAATTATCGCTGGGGTAGCTGTACCCTTTCGTTCGCTTGGGAACGAATGAACAAATAAATTTTTTAGATATGTGACAAGTGAACTGATAAATAAAGTGCATATAAGATGAATTAGAGAGCGACGGACCACAGAGATTGCAAACGCTGCCAGCTCAGTTGGGGGCTCCCAGAACAGTTTCTACGGCGACTAGCAAGATGTGGGGTGATCACCCTATTTGCGGTGAAGTACCAACAATAACTTAGCACAACAGGAACATTTTGTATTGCCGTGTAATATCAAAGAAAAATGACATCAGTAAAAAACAAAAATAGCAAAAACGCATCTCCCACGCCACTCACCCTTCCGAACTCGCGCAACTGCGTGAGCATGACGATGATGGTCGAGTTCTGCTCCCAGAGCATTCGCCAGAAGTCTTCGACGGTGTCGGGCAAAGGTGCCTGCGTCGCTATGTACATGCGCTTTTTCTTGTAGCCGTCGACGAACGAAGCGTTGATGTAGTCGGATCCCTCGACACTGGACACCGGTGACAGACAAACGCGGGTCGAGTCGTACGGTAAAACGTTGCCAAGCCGATTCTTCAGCTTGTTGCAAGGCAAATTGGCGGCGGTAAATTTCGCATTCGGCAACTTTAAGGAAGACAAGCGCTGAAAAGCAGGGCATAAGCACAGAGATGAGAAACATAAGTAAAACGAGAAGAGAACCAGTGATCACCCTGCGGGGCCAAGTGGTCGCCTCTGACTCACCCTGAACTCCAACTCCATACCGGTGACGTTTTCCATCGGCTGGAATTGCATAAGGCCCTCGATATGCATAGGCAGTTTCGGAACGGCCACCTCCGAATAGCCGGACTGTACAACGTCCAGAACGGCGTCATGGATGAATATGTACTGTTCTTCAGTTTGAACCATGTAACTGCGCTGCGAACGGATAGCGGTCACACAGCCGTAAATATCTACAGTGTTCTCGTAGTGCAGTCTGTCCAACATGCAGTCGACAACGATAAACGCCCCAGAACGGCCGACACCCGCGCTAAACGAAATAAACATGGTAAGCATGAAATAAACAAGTCACAACAACCATCAAATAGCTCGGTACCTGCAATGAACTATGACTGGCCCTGCCTCCGGAGGATTAATCGCTTTCACCCGCTTCAGGAATATCAAAAACGGCGTTGGATGCTCAGGCACGCCGTGATCCGGCCATGAGGTGAACTGTAATTGTCTGATTTCTCGTGACCCGGTCTGGTTCACCTACACGAAAACTTAAGAGTTAAACACTTACAATAAAGCTGCATAGAGAAACTGCTTAAGTTTGCAAAGGAGCAAACGACCGACCAGTACTTGAGCTTCAGGTAATGAAAAAGTGTAATTACTGATTAAAATAGACTTGCGAGACCTACAGTATCACTAAAGAGAGATCATGTTAAAGTTCTCAACTTTCAAGTGGTTTGTATTACTCGATGTGGTCAAGAACACTGAGTCGCTAAAATTTCACAAAGAAGCTGTGTAGAAGAAAACCTCTGATATCATTCGCCAAGGGTGCATCAACAATGGCGTGGCGACACGGCGCCTAAGAGATCGGCTTCGAATTTCAGAGCTGGTGGGTTCGATTCCGTACAAGGAATCTCCTTTCTATCCATGAATTCCCTTGAACAAAGAATTTTCACACGTTGCTTCAGACTGGAGCTGGTCGGTGGAGCGTCAGATTCCGACCTGAGAGGAGCAGGTTCGAACTACAGCTAGAATCACTTGCCTTTAATTCTTCTAAGGCCGATAAATGGGCACCATTCTGCGGAAAGAAAACGGGAGTCTACACACTATGCTTACCATCACAGCTACTGTCAACTTAGTCTGTAAATCAAGGTACTTCTAACAGATGACATAGAAATGCAGATCAGCACCTCACCACTAGCTATTTCTTACCGGTAATAAAAAATATATCAACTGTTTGGTAATTTATCTCAAGCTTTACTTAGGCTTGGCTTGAGTGACAAATTAATGAGGCAGTTCCAAAATGCACATGTATTTGGACATACAGACAGGGCAAGCATTCTACTTCGCATATTATAAGCGCACAGCGAACATTTCATCCCATACTTAGTAAGGTCCTGGAGGTAGAACTGGTGCTACAGAGTGCCATTTTCATCAGCGAAACTGAGTTAACTCAATCACATTATAATAACACAATGCCCGTTTGTCATATTCAAAATAGCCACGTTTCCGGCAGAAAGAATATGCTTATCATATTCAGTGTTCCACGCAGTTACCATATTGCTCTAGGGAAACAACTTAGTCTAAACAACCACTTTGAAGAACTAGAGCAAAGTGGAGGGGTAAGTCTCCAGCCATTCGATCGCTTAATACACGCATAGCATATACTTTCGATATGTCGAAAATTCGCAGCATGTAATGGGCGAACTCCGTGGTTTCCTTGAACGTGACGACGATCGTCCCGTAGGTGATTGAGCCGCGGCTCGGCCAGTACTGGTCGCATTTGATGCGCGTTCGTTCCTCGAGTTTCGTTAGCATGACGATCGTCGCTGAATTCTCTTCCCAAACCATACGCCAGAAGTCAGCAAACGTGTCCGACAGGGGACCCTGAAATCGAAACAAAGCAGATGATAATCGCCAGCCAAGAAAAGCGACCACTGACCTGAGTGGCGATGTACGCCTTTGGCTTACGATATCCGTCAATGTAGCTCGCATTGATGTAATCGCTGCCAGGGATGTCGTCGATCTGACTAAGCACCACGCGACTGTGGTCATAAGCTACGACATTCGCATACCGATTTTTCGGCTTGTTGTATTCGAGATTCGAGTTTTCCCATGTGAAGTGTTGCCCGGTTTCAATGCTCTACAGTAGGTCCGAGAGTGAATCAATAACATGTCATAATAAAGCACTGAGTATGTAAACATCTTACCAAGTTAAATTCATTTTTGATTCGAAGTATAAAGAGTAGCCTTCCCTATTATCATGGCAAGTTAATTTTAATCCATTACACTGTCCCGCTTCTGTAAGAAGGACTATATTTGGTCGGGCAGCGGTGTCTTTGGCTGATGCAGAGATAAACGAACGGAGGCTAACCCTTGTAAAGAAACTGGTTAAGCATACACCATTTACTGCAGCTCACGAGCTTCTCATGTGTAAACCGAATCAAGACAAATGCTGACCAGCAGGACAGGATGCATCATGGCGGGGTATTCATACTGACTATAATTTTTAATTAGCTATGACATTATGTTATGAAACTGCCTAACTCGACATTACCGCTACGCAGTGACAGTCATGGACAACACCGAAGCATAAAAATGATCGGAAACGTGTTATATAGCAGAAAAAAGATACGATCTCGACAAATGTCGAGACACTGACACATGCATATCTAATGGTTACTGCGGTGTTTAACGCGTATCACAGTTCAAACAGCTCGTCTAACAAGCATCATAAGAACTATATCTATATTTAGAAAACGGATAATCAGCAAAACCATAAAAGGAAAAACTGTGGGATACACAGATACGAAGATATCGTTCAGTCTGCCAACCGTCCCGAGAGCGTATTATGCTTCTGTGCAAATCAGAGACAACTCAGCCCATGACAAGCAACATAAAAGCGTCGATGCAAGGGCGAAGGATAAAATAACTATGTTCATTGCTTCATCTACAGCACATACCTCGTACTCCTGCGAAAATAGTTGATTGTCGTTCATGCGCAACCGGTCGATGTGCGCCGCCAGTTCGACAACGGGGATCGGCGGATGAGGCATGGACGAGGCGACAGTCGGCGGCGGCTGCGGATAGTAGAAGTTCTGCATCTCCATCGGCGCTGCAGTGGTACGGTAAAAAATGTCCGACGACTTGGTAGTGTCGAAGCTGTGCACACCGTTGGTCATCATCATCGGACCGGAGCCACCACCATAAGTGTCTTTCAATAACTTGGACGTCTCTGACGGATCAACGGAGCTTAGTACCGTTTTGTTCAAACTGCAATTTTTGTCCTGGAAGCTCTTTTTTCTGAAAACGAGGCGTTTGACTAATAGCTGAGCGCACGACGAACCAACGGGATCAGTTCATACTTGTTCCGTCGTAGAAGGAAAATGCAAATGGTGCAGATGATGAGGCCGACGACCAGGATGGCAACGATTGGGCCGACCAACCATAAGTTGGAATTGCCAATCCTCGGCAGACCAATGTACGAAAATAACGCTTTGAACGTACCGCTGTACATACTGGATGCGTGGATCTGATCCTACAATAGAAGAACAATAATCACATCAGCAAATAGACAATGTCTGGTGCAAGAAACACGACCGTTGACACTTACAGCACCATTTCCCAAAAGCTCCGGTTCGTCCAGGAAAGCCCGCAGGAAAGTCTTGTACTGAATCTTATTGTTCAACGGCGCATTTTTAAAGCCGCCATAACGAAGACCATTGCCGAGCGTGAAGAGGCCATTTTTGAGGTTGAGGATGTCGCGTCGTGACAACAGTGCAGCAACGTACATATCATCCGTCGTCAGCAAGTGTGATGGCGAATGCAACAGCTGTAAAACAAATAGACGGATAACACAGTAAACAAAACAAGAGGCTGTTGATGAAACAATACTTCATTCCGCTGAATTTCGTATGGCATTCGAGAAACGTTCGCCGGGACCACGACTAACCAGTAATATTTCACAGGGCCGTACTCCTCCGTAGCTGGCTCCAGTTTAATTCGCACTTCCTTGTTGCTTACGGATTCGACAATTTTTGGAGCAGTCACAAATGGAGGCGCTAAAGTTTTGTATTTGTTACGAAGGAAGGTTACTCTAGTTTACTGTATAGCTGAAAGTCACTTTAACTCAACAATGTATCGGAACTTATACGTTGTAATAATCGACTGCAAAAATTAAACGAGCAACATCCGCGTGATCGTTCGTGCGGAGAAAGTGAAACAACAGGAGAAACGGTCAGTACAATAGACTGGTTCGTTTCAGCATCAGAGACTGCCATTCTTAGTGGTAAAACAATTCCATAGAGTTTGAAACGGTCCGCTTCTCTTTGCGCAATATCACCCTTTAATGTCCTCTGGCTGACAGTCGGGGAGGGGGCTTTGCTGATCATTGGGCAGTGACTTAACGAACCACTCGCACAGCCGTGTTGCACGACCACTTCGCTAGTGCCAATCAATCACTTGCGAAGATGTTCAGCAGCACGATATCATCGACGATTTCACGATGCGTTATGAATGAAGTCAGGTACCTAGAGCTGCGCTTTTTATTGACAGTCAGTATTTCGTAGTCAATCGGCTTAGTCATAATTTTCTGAATGGCGTGTTCGGCTAAAACGTCATATAAGGGGAAGAGAGCACTCGTCATGCTCAACTCTACCGGTAATGCGGAAACAATTCTACACGAAGATTCCTAAGAAACTTCAGCAAAGAATTGCATAACGTCGAATAACACGCCACACTCTATACCGATTAACTAAATCGAAGACCTCCAAAAGTTCAGACACCTTGTAGGAAGCTCAATGCATGGGTGTCTGCTAAAACAAACCGGATTCATTCTTAAACGATGATCCGTTGATACAACTCTTCCGGTAGAAGCAACAGAGTGATTTCTCGACAGTCAAAGGACGTCAGTTCTCAGTATTGACTCCAAGGAACATCGGCTATGCCAGGTATCACCAAAATATGCTACACCCTTGTTTGCAAATTGTCTTTAAGAATTTCCGCACTAGTATCGCCTAAATGGCAGTACTTCAAACTTCGCCAGCCTCGTATCGACAGTAGGGCGCAGCTTACACCTAAAATTTTCCCCTCATTATACTAGCATACCGCATAGAACGGACCAAGTTCAGTTTCACCGCGGATGCAATTAGCAGGTCACGTTTGTAATCGAACCATAATGAGTAATGACCTTACTGACGTCTCGTCTGAAGAACAACATGAGCTGAAACGAATGGCAGGCAAACGTTTGTACTGTTTCACGCTATGTCAGGAAAGAAGTTCCATGCATCCTCAACCTCGGATGACCGCAATAATAACATATGCAAATAAATAAATAATCGTGTAAATGTAACATCGCCTACCTGCACGCTTCGTCGTGACGTTCAGAGCGACCGGGTGAAAATATCGCGTAAACGTGTCATTCGACCAGACGACGCCGACCTCGAATGTGTAGTTGGTGTATGGTCGTAGGTTAGTGACGTTGACAGTTAACTTGTCCGTCTCAATCATTAAGCCCTCGATGCTCAGCTCCTTCCATTCGTCCACCTGCGTTCTGTACTTTTTCTTGCCCTGGTACTTCACCTAAACAGAGTTATGGTCAAACTGAGGTGAATCAAGCAGAACAGTACCAAGCAGAGACTAATCACGGCTTTTAACGTTTTGACACCATCTCTAATACTGCTGCCAAGTACATTTCGATTAATCTTGTCAGTGTTTTGGGTAAAGCAGAATCGTCAGATGCACGATGACTTCACAGAAAT